CTGCAAAGGGCCTATTCTAACTCTAGCACACTTTTTTCTGTTATCTCCATCATGTTTCCCAATGAAAATGAAAGCACTGACCATGGAAATGAGGCTATTGAAGAATACTTTTACGCATAATAATTGATGATATTACCTTATTTCAATAAAACTATCTTGAAGCACTGCAAGGAGCTTTCCATCACTAAAGAAAAAAACAATTGCATGTGTATATGTTGTGGTTTAAATCTGACTTAGGTTCATTTTATTTCCTTGATTTGAGATCTATTCTTCAGTTTACAGCTTGGTTACAACAAAGGGACCACATTTTAAGAGGTAACCAAAGTCCCAAAATTTATTTATCTCTAATGATCAATTAACATGCAGCAAAATTGTAATTGGTCATTTATTGAACTTTGTGCTGTACAGTTCAGGGAGTAAACATGGCCATATATTCAACTTGACCTTGAACTACAAGCTCAGCTGATTTTAATATCGTTCGCCCAATTAATCGACCCTGAACTGCACTCTCAGTTCAATTGAAACTTTTATGATTTTTATCTACACAATGTACCTGGACAAGGCAAACTGCCAACTGAGTGAACTGTTGATGATTTTATACAGCTGTGCTGGGAGACCAAGAATTTGATTGCTGCCACTGAAATTGAATACATGTAACAATAAATTATTATTATAAAATTATACACCATTATTTAATGTACTAAATTATTTTTTACAAAATTACTTTTACCCCTCAGTTTTCAAAACCTACTAATGATAAATAAACACATTTTAGACTCTCATAAGGAAAATCTTTTTAACTGAAAACTTTAAAACTGGTCGCAAGGGAGTTTTTCGTTTCCAAACGACCTTTCTCGCATTCCAACAAACAATAGCGCCGAGTCGAGGTCAGGGTGGACAAAAATACAGCAAATGTATGAAAATGTCCACCCCAACCTCACTCTGATGTTATTGTTCAAATGCACTGAAGCAGAATGCGGGAAAGGTCTATTGATGTTAATTCAATATTTTATCTAAATTAATTTAAAGATCACCAAGTGGGGTCAAACATTGTAAAAATTGGTGCCACATTTAATTACCTAATAGTATACTGAATTCCCCTCAGCAACCACCAAAAGGAATCTACAACAAGAAAAAGAAAATAAATAATAGGTAACATGGAATGTAACAAACCTATATCAAAATTAGCACATGAATGAATAGCCTGTACATTCATTTCTGCATTGTACCAATAATAATTATTGTTCAATTAATACAGTGTGACACAAAACTCTGGGGCTGAATACTTCGTACATGTACCTATTCAACACCAAACTTACTTGCCAGATGAGCACTACTCAAAAAAAAATGCATATCAATGCATCTAAGTATGCATCATCAAAACTTATTACTGTTACTAATTCAGAAATAAAGAACAGTCTTGGTTATCCATATAAATTATAGATACAGTATGTCTGTATCATACGAGTAGGTAAAGTAAGTTGTCAACTCCCTGGGTCCTGTTGCACTTTATAGGTACAGGAAAGAGATTAGAAAAGTTTGGGTCCCTTAGGGTTGAAGTGAACTTCTTAAAATAAAAGATGTCAATTGTATCCTTTGCCATTCTCCATTGCCTAAGTTATTATTTGGGTAAGATATTAATAATTTAAAAAAAATAATAATAAAATACTTTGTGCAACTGTCAAAAACTTCTTTGGCAGAGATCCCCTCAGCTGACCAATATCAAATCCTGTCTTGTTCTAGAAGAAAACACCAGATACATTTAAAGTTAATCTTTGATCCCATGCTGACCCTCATCTAATTAATGTTGTGTTATTTTCATATGTTAGTGATAGCCTTCTAGTTGAAGAATATTTCTAACAAAATCATGAGGTTAAATATCTTATCCAGGCTATTATGTCTCTTATTACACTAATTTCACTTACTACTATTGCAAAACTTCTTAGCAACAACTCAAATTTCATCTAATTAATGTTGTGTTATTTTCATATGTTAGTGATAGCCTTCTATTTGAAGAATATTTCTAAATATGTTATCCAGGCTATTATGTCACTCATTACACTTATTTCACCTACTAGTATTGCAAAACGTCTTAGCAACATCTCAATTTGGCAAGATTCCTGTATAATCCCATGCTTATCAAACTGTAGCTAGTTTTGCTTTATTTGTGATTTTTGTCTGTGTGCAAAACATAGTATAAAAGAAATATCCTCAACTGAGCATGGGGCTGTACAGAAATCATGCCCTCAAATAATCCCTGTCCCAGCTTTATCTTTCTGATGTGCTCGTGACTCTTATGAAATATTATATGATAAGACCCTTAAATTTACAGGACATAAAATTTTAGATTTCCCTGCCAAAATATTAGCTTTATTAAGCCTACACTTTTACTAACATTTAGGCATACATTACTTGCAAAAAATTTCAGACATTTTATTTCAGACAATAAGGGCACTAAGACTCGCGGAGCTTTGGAACCACTTAAAAGTTTTATTCAGAAGGAGATGTTTTGGTTGCTTAAAAGTTGGGATGCTTAAAAATTTTGGAGAGTTTTATTTTCAAGTCCGAAATTAAAATCATCTAAATATTTTTGCAAGTAATGTAGCAGACTGCTGATTGTAACTGTATGTATTGGAATGTCAAACCCCCCAATGTTGACAGTGATTTGACCTCATTGTTTCATGCCTAATAATTCATAGCAATTCACAGTCAAAAGGTCAGTGGTAGTTCATCTCCCCCACCCCCGTCCCCTTCTATTCCTCATCATCCCATTCGTCCCGCATCCTACCTACCCTCCCCCCCTCACCCAACCCAGAATTTTAATGTATTGAAACAAGGTCTCCAAGGTAATACACTAAATGGTTGAAAGATTTTCAGTTGATCGAGAGTTTCTCAACAATCTGGTTAAGCGTATATAAGCTTATCTGTTTAAGAAATCTCATAATTTTATATCATTTGAACGAAACCAACGCCACGTAGTAACTTTTGCATGTTACACCGGCGATAAAGAAACAGAGGATTCCTTGAAATAACGGAAAGTAAATTCTAAATACCTTTCAAGTAACACAAATAAATACTTACCAAGATTTCTCCCCCGAGGGACCACTCTGCACGTATAAACACGTCGTACAAAATGTGGTCCTCCGTGACCGCTGCAGCCATGATGGAATTCTCCAATTGAAGGCGAAGAGACTAAGAACTAGCATTTCATTGGCTGAAGTAGATCACGTGAGATGCCACCGTAAGAAAACCGCCATCTTTGAATTGAGTTGCGTGTTCCTTCCGAAACAAGAAGTAAATTGCATCTCGTGTGAAGACAAACAAAAGTTTCAACAATTTAACGATCAAGCTCTCAATGGCGACAGAAACAGCGTTCAGACCTCGCGTGGATCAAGAAAATGCTTCAGCCCTGGATATCAAGGGTGGAAATGTATCAGGTATAAAGTTAAGCTTACTAACTCTAGTTTGCACAAAGGCTTACATGTCACCATTTTATGAACGATTGAAAAGCGACCTTTCTATTCACACCTAAAAGCTGGGAACTAGAGTATACTTTGCGACTTAAATACACAAATATCGGTACACCGATGGAAAGGTGACTCTGCAGACACATGTATGAAAATCTAACGACAGTTTTAAAGCACAAAGACTTGAACGGATTTTAGCAAAGGGATTTTAAGCTTAAAACAGAAGCAAAATTCTCATTGGAAGTGGCATTCATTGCTATTGAGGACTTCAATGAAAATTCTTCCAATGAGCCAGTTTTGAACTTTCTTAATGTCTTTAGGTGCTATAATCAAATGGTTTTAGGTAGAGATCAACTAATATATTCTCAGCAATAGAGCAAGAATTAAATTAGTGAAAATCTTACTTTGAGAATCTAGCCAATCAAATCATCTGTCTTCAGAGCCACCTTTGCCTTGTGAAAAGGCTTTACTGGCCAAGAGGGCCAGGTGGCTTAACAGAAGAGAATGGTGCTGTTAAATCTTTTCAGTCCAACAATAAATTAAAGTGAGTTTACTAACTACATGTGTAGCTTGCAAAAAAAAAAATTCCTGAAAGATTNATTAAAAGAATAAAACTACGACGTTTCAAAGTCATCTTGACTCCATTATCAAGCAGAGGTGTTAGCTGTAGTTTCGAGATTAAATACAAATAAAGGTGATAGAGTACATTAGAATAATAAAACAGTAATGAAAACGAAACACTTATTATTCTAATGTAAATAACTTTGAAATGTCGTAGTTTTATTCCTTTAATATTCATTATCAAATATATTTCGAAATGTTCTCTTATAAGGATGTATATTACAGTGTTATAAAACCTAAAAACTACATGTAGGAATGTTGTATGTCTTTAATATCCAAATATTGGTACACAGGGAGAAGTTTTGGTGCTGCAAAATCTTTCCAGTCAGACAATGCTCCTTTAACAACTCCACGACGTGCTCTTGGAGATGTAGGGAACACCATCAAACCATCCACTACGAAAGCCAGGAAGGGACTTGCATTAAAACCCAACAAGCTAATGGGCAAGAAATCTACAACCACAAAGATTTTCCAAGATCGTGCAGGAACCCCAGCAACTAAAGGACTGCCACTCTTACAACAAATAAGCTCTGCAGGTCTTAAGCAAAGTAGCAAAAAGAAGCAGGCAATTCATGTAAAGACTACAGAGAAACAAAGAGTGAAAGCCGAACAAGACCAGTGTCAAAAAGAAACAATGCTTCCGTTTACTGATAAAGGTATGAACAAAGGTGTAATATTTATGAAATAGAAAAACTTAGTGTGGTATACAAAAGTACATGTACAATTTCAGTTAGGGAGACCCAGTTCATTGTCCAGGCTTGTACACTCAGGGACTTTTGAGTTCTTTTAACTTGCTTGCATCCAGCCACATGCACATGTATGTGTATGTGGAATATTGCATACTAGACAAAGGAAAATAAAGAAATCAAACTGATGCACAATCACACGATACAAATTAAATATAAATATGCAGGTTTTCCTTGTCACACAAGCACAAAGAAAGGTCTTCAAAGATCTGACAAGGATTTTTTTCTACAGGTCCTAATAAGGGTCTTTCAAAGATCCCTCAAGATCTCTGGCGAGACTCTTAAAAATTATATGGCAAGTACTGAGATCATCAATAGGATACTCAAAGATTTTGACAAGAATCTTTGTGCATCTTTGAAAGAATTTCATCAACTGAAGGAGTAATATTTGTTCTGTTTTATTCTGTTCAGAGGATGCTCTTCCAAGACCCAGCTATGTTTCAGCAATCTTGAGGAATGTTGGAGCTCTTTATTATGGCTGTCAGTTTAGACCCCAGACTGGCATTGATTCAGATTCTGAAGACGACCCAGCAAATTTTGTGCACTTTGAAAATGAAAGAAGACCAAAAAAAGGTACACAAAACTCCAAAAGTTAAACTCTTTCAAGAAACAGCAGTTTGTATTTTTATCAGTGTAGGGCCTTCTCGTGCTCCCTTCTCTGCCTGCTTTGAAACTCAGCTCATAGCGCAGAGTTATGCCACTCCACTAAGACACTTGTGTGAAATCCAAAATGGTGAACTTGCAAAGATTCAGTGAAGATTTCAACAAAATTATTGGCCCAAGGATGCCAAGAAGAGACATCCTATTGATGTTGACATTGAAAATCATGGGTTTTCTGTTTTAAAATTTTTATAAACTTTGTGGCATGGTTGATGTTACCCGCAGAATATTGTAGAATGAAATCTATCCATTTCTGGGCATGCTTTAATGAGCAACTGCTAACAGATTCATTTTATGTTTTTTCCAGCTTTGCTATTATGAGTCTTTCTTATTATTATAGTCGCATGAGACCCAAGTTACTGAGTAAGCCCCTAATGTGTGTGTGTCTTGGTGTTTCTAGATACCTACTTTGATTCACTTCCATTTGAAGGAGAACTGGATTTGTTAACTCAAGGCTTTGATACACTCAGTCTTCCAGATATAGAATTGCCACCTATCGATATTGATTCACTGGGACTTGGCTTGTTGTAGAAATAGAATATTATTTTATACATTAGTTGAAAATTACACTGTAAATTTATATTAGCTGTAAATAGATTGTTTTGTTGTGTCAAGAATTTCCATCTTCTAGTTTGGTGTTCTTTTTTTTCCTATATTTTGAAACAAGTTTTTTCCTGTTGTAAATCCTTTATTTTTCACTGTTGTAATAACAAATAAAATTTACCACTTCCATTGTCTCTAGACTTGAGATTACAGTCTCTTTTAATTTCATTGCCTTATTTTGTTTCCATTTGAGATCCCCTGTTATTATTTACCAGTAATATTTAACTGAAATATTGAAATAAACATTGAAAAAAGCTGTGAATAAATGTGCATTTTGTCTTTGTTGACCCTGCATGTTCTCCTTGTCAAACATTTCCAATATTCTCTTTGGACAAATTAGCTTCTTCGTTCTTAATAAATGACTTGGAGAGCACCTTTATTCTCAAGATGAATGCCAAAGATGAATGCTAAAGATGCAAACTACTAACTGGTTTTCCAGGGATTGTGTAACTCAGTTTTTAAAAGAACTTTTCAGCTGGAAACCACTCACATGGTAGTCTCCTTCGCAGCCATCACACAATGCTTCTCTAATAACGGTTGCAAAGGAGATTACGCACATGCAGCTTGTGACTACAATTGCATTTATAGTGAGAACACTCAAATGGTGAACAGTTGATTGTTTAAGTGACAAAAGAGTGAGGACTCTTCATATTAACAAGAGTATTAAGCATTTTTAAACTGTAAAAGCACTTATCTTGCTCATTATAACCAAGGAGTCTTCATTCTACAAACCCAAAAGAAATGTAAACATGAATGTGTAGAGTGTTTGCAGTTTGAGTGTCCCTACAGTGAACATTTTATGTCATCTCTAGAGTCTATATATAGGAGGGTAGAATAGACAAAAAGCCAAGCCAATAGAACGGCTCAAGATTGACAGAAATGGAAGGCACTATTGCATGCTCTATGTTCCCCATGGCACAAATGGGATTAGATAACAATAA